CGCGCGTGCGCGCCGTTCGCGAGACGCGAACGCGCGCCCGACGCCGCCGCGGACGCGCGAGACGACGCGCGCGGTGGTGACGACGCGCGGACGCGACGTCGACGCGAGGACGCGCGTGTCGACCGGACGAAGACCTCGACGCAGACTGTTCGCCCACACGACGGTGCGCGTCGACATGAATTCGTGACACCGCGGCGCGCGCGCGCGCGCGCGAGCGACGGGCGCGCGCGCGGCGATGCGGGCGAACGCGGACGCGCTGCTCGCGAGCGCGGTCGTGGAGCTGTGCCCGTATCGACGCGCGCACGTCGAGCGGTATCACGAATGGATGTCTGACGAGGACACGCTGCGAGCGACGGCGAGCGAACGGTTGACGCTGGCGGAGGAGTACGCGATGTGCGAGCAGTGGGCGAGGGATGAGACGAAGTGCACGTTCATCGTTCGCGACGCGCGGACGCGGGAGATGGTTGGGGATGTTAATTTTTTCTTCGGCGTCGACCACGATGACGCGGGCGCGGCGGAGATCGAGTGCATGATTGGTGAACGGTCGATGCGACGAAAGGGGTACGCGAGAGAGGCGTTGGAGGTGTTCATGGCGTACGGGGCGGTCGTGTTGGGGGTCACGACGTTCGTGGCGAAGATTGGGTTCGATAACGCGGCGTCGCTGAACTTGTTCGCCGGTTTGGGATACGTCGAGCGGTCGTCGAGCGAGATTTTTCGCGAGAAGACGCTGACTTTGCCGGCTCGAGACGCGCGCACGGGGGAGGTGCATTCGAGGTTTCAAGATCGGTGGTCGCGCGTGCGGGTTCAATCGTACGACGCACACGAGGCGAGACGTCTCGAGGAAAAATCGTGATTCAATCGTGCGACGTGCGGGCATGTTGAGTGTTGATTTGTAAAGCCAATTAAGGATTTGGTACCGGTACCGGTAAATATTTACAAAATCGATACACCATCTGATGGGTCACCCGGGCGAGTAGTACAATACCCGGTACTGTCAACGTAAGCATTCTTCCATCTGTGGATCGTGTTCGGCGAGTTCGGGTCTCGGGATTCCGTTCACTGGACAACACGCGACGCCAATGGTGGACCGCGTCAATGTTTCGATTTGCGCTCTGGCGAGTTCCGGATTGCGTACCCAGGTATCGTAGAACTCGAATGGACATTTGGCAACACCCTTGTCTCCATCACCGCTGGCGTAAACGCCGGTATACCCTCGATGCAGAAGCTTGAAGAGATGGTTTTGCGATTGATCGTTGGCTCGAGCGTCTCGAATCGCCGAAATTGAAAGCTGCGCGTAATTCATCGAGTTCTCCTCTGTGCCGCATTCGCCGAGCGTTCGGCCGTCTGCGGCGACGATGCAGGAGTGTCCAAAGTAAGAATACACGCCGTCAAATCCAGAGGCGTTGGCCACCGCGACGTAGATCCCGTTACACCAAGCCATACATTTCGCCATCATGATTTGTTGCTCTTTTGCGGGATACATGTACCCTTGACATCGAACCACCAACTCGGCGCCCTGTGTCGCGCACTCTCGCCAAATTTCAGGATAGTTCCCATCATCACAAATTATCAAAGATATCTTCATCCCTTTCGGGCCTCTAGAGACATACACTCTATCTCCCGGGTACCAGCCCTCGATGGGACACCAAGGCATAATTTTTCGATACTTTTGAACAATTGCCCCTTGGTCGTCGACGAGCACCAACGCGTTGTACGGCGCCTTTCCCTTGACAGAGCTATCATTGACCTCCCCGGTGATTGAAAAAACGCCCCATACGCCAACTTCTTTACATACCGCACAAAATTTATCCGTCGCAGGTCCTGGGATCGTTTGCGCCGTAGCTAGACATTCTGTTTTGTCGTACATAATCCCCATCGTTGAATATTCTGGAAAGATTATTAAATCCATGCCTGGTAAACCGCGTTTGACGCCTCGAACGACATCGCAAATGGCATCGACGTTGGACATGACCTCTTCGTGCGTGTGTAGACGAGGCATTTTATATTGAAAGACGCACACACCGACGGTGTCGGGGGAGGATGAGATATCGCCATGGCGTGACATGGGTCGACAAGTGAGGAAAGGAGAGAGGAACGGAGGACTTTTCGCGAAAAGTCGCGAAAACTTTTCGGATTTCGCTACATACAGCAGACGTTTGGGGAGGGGGTAACGTGACCAATCATGACTCAGTCGTCCCGTTCCTCTACGCGCCGCTCTTGCCTCTGAACAGAGTCTCCCTCAGGCACCGGCCGGCGACGCGCGATCGCGCCTTCGCAGGTGCGATCGCGTGCGCGCTCGCCCACGCAGGGTACGTCATGTCCAACGATTCCACCGTGCTCTGATCGCGGCGGGCTCGAGCCGCGCGGAAATGTAATAACAAATGTGAAACCAGCCCGCCGCAGTGTCTCGCGCGCCGCGACGCCTCGAGCCCTCGCGCCCTCGAGCCGCCCGCGATGGATAAGATCGCCCCCGTCGGTCGTCGCGCGCACCTTCTTCCAGACGGTCGCGTCGCGTACGAGTGGGAGCAGACGCTGGAGGATGTCACCGTGTACGTCGCGGTGCCGCCGGGAACGCGCGCGCGCGATCTCGACGTGGCGATCGGGAAATCCACGCTGCGCGTTGGCATCGCCGGAAACCCGCCGTACTTGGAGCACGCGCTCGCGGAGACGGTCAGGCCGGATGAGAGCGTGTGGACGCTGGAGGACGGCGAGCTGCGGTGCGAGCTCGCAAAAGTCATCAGAGGGAAATCTTGGAGCGCACCGTTCGAGGCGCACCGCGCGAGCGCGAATAAAGAAGAGTGTGAGGCGGATTCGAGGCGCTTGATGCTCGAGAGGTTCCAGAGGGAGAATCCAGGATTTGATTTCAGCGACGCGACGTTTGACAAACCGCCTCCGGACGCGTCTACGTTTATGGGCGGCGTCGGCGCGTAGAGCGACGATGGATCCGCGCGTTGTTGGTCGTACATCGTTCACGTTTCACTGTGTTGATGTTGGACGACGCCGGGCGGTCGACACGATCGATGTTTGATCGCGCGCTCTCGGCGCCTCAGAAGACGACGTGCGCGGACGATGCCGGTCGAGTGCCCATCCGTCATGGACGTCTCAGATGACGACTTCGACGCGCTGGAAGAAGAGATCAGTGCGATACAAAGTCATTCGATTCGGTTGATGGCGAGGAACTGGCCGAGAGTAGAAGAGGACGGCACGAGCAGAGGCGACGCGCCTCTCTCGCGCTTCAGGCTCTCGTCGGGCGACGACTCTCGAGACGAAGCGATTGGCGTCGACGCGGAGTCGGGCGAGCGCGCAGAGAAGTGGATGGCGCACGCAGAGAATACATTGAAGACGCACTCGCACGCGTCGACGATAGCGTCGACGGAGAAGATTCTGGTGGAGTTGTCGGATACGGCGACCACGCGAACCGTCCACGATGTCGAGAGCGAGTTGAAGAAGAGTTACTCTCGAATGAGCTTGCTGATCGGAGCGAGCGCTGCGATCGCGTTCACGTTCGTCATCGCACGGTTGGTGACGATATTCGTCTTTTACCGGCGCGCCACGTCACCGTTGCGAGTGGTGGAATCGTTGGCGCTAAGAGGTCTCTCCAATCTGCCCGCGCCATTCGTGCACCCGGTTACGCTCATCGAGTTCCAAAAAAAGGCGATCGACCATCTTAGCGAAGAAAAGGTCGTTCTCTTGGAACGCTTGCGTTTGAGTAGGAAGATGGCGAATGAGCAGCGATCGATTGCATCGACGTGGAGAGACGCGTTCGTCAAATGTCGATCCGATAAGCGAGACGAGTTTGTCGATCGAGCGGCGTGCGCCGCGTCCTCGCTCGAGTGGTCGCCCGCGTGGTCACTCTATGCCATCGACCGGTCAGGATACTTACGCGTGCCAGCCAAGGCGATGAAAAATACCGCAGACGCGACGAAATCGTTTATTCGTCGCGCGTTATGTCCGTTCCTCATCAAATGTTGGCCGTCGCTCGAGACGTCGCGACGCAAGAGAAACGAATGACGCCGCGGTAGAAACTCGCCGCGCGATTGAAATACAAATCTTCCGTAGTTACTGTACAAGCGATGAGCCATCAGACCCGTCCCTACACTACCTTCTCCCTCCGTTCGACGCGACGTCTGGTCAATTCGTCACCGAAGACGCCACCACCCGTCTCCGAGCCTCCACCAATCCCTCCAATTCCGCCGTCTTCACTCGCCCCGACTGCACCATCTCTTCCAACACATCCCTAACGATCCTCACGCACGCCTCTTTGGCGCTCGCGCACGTCCCACCGACGTGCCGCACCTCCATCGCGCACGCGCGTCCGCCCACCTCTCGCGTCGTCGCGCACGCCCCTCGCACCTCCCTCGCCCGCTCGCGATCGCACCGAACGACGCACACGCCCGTGAAACCGTCGCAATACTTCACGCCGAGCGATTGCGCGCTCCGACCGGCGCCGACGTCGCCGAAACACTCGCGCACGCTCGCTCGTAAAGTCTCGAGCACCGATCTCTGCGCCTTCGTCGACGACGCCTCTCGCCCGTCGTCCAGCGCGCGTCCGTCGTTGGCGACGACGCGAACGACGAGGTATCGATTCTTAAACCGAACCATCGACGCGCGCGGCGCACTGCGACGCACCGCGGAGGACGCTCGATCGCGATGAGGAATTTAATCCCACGCGCGCGCGTCACACGTCCACGCCGGCGCCTCTCGCGCGCCATCGTCGACGGTCGATGCAACGCGGACGGTCGAGGAGTGATCTCGTCGAACGTGGATCGGCGCACTCGCGTTCGCGGTCGAACAGCGACGCGATGGACGTCGAGGGCGGAATGCTCGGTGGATCGAGGAGCGATGCCTCCTCGCGCGCGTTCACGGCTCGGCCGAACAGCGTGACGTCGCGCGCGCACGCGTTCTACGCGCGTGACCCGATGCGAACGAAGCAGATCCTGGCGGTGGCGGCGGCGGTGTGCTTTTTGTTGGCGTTACGATGCAGTTGGACCGCGGCGTGGGTGTTCGTCGCGTGCGCGGCGTCGCTCGCGTTCGCGGCGCACCTGGCGAACTGGGTCATGCGCCTGGACGAGGGGAGCGAGGACATGCGAGCGGTGAGTGATGCGATCAGGGACGGCGCCGATGGGTTCTTTACGACGCAGTACGGGTTGATTTCGAGACTGGCGGTGGGCGTGGCGGGCGCAATTTTCTTCACGTATCTGTTTCGAGCGACGACGCGCGAGCAGCAAGAGGCTGGTGTCGGGGCGTTTTCCATGGCACTTTTGACCACGGTGAGCTTCATTAGCGGTGCTTTGTGTAGCGGGGTGAGCGGGTACGTGGGGATGTGGGTGAGCGTCCGGGCAAATGTGCGCGTGGCGTCGAGCGCGAGGCACGGCGCGCGCGAGGCGCTCACAGTGGCGCTTCGCGCCGGTGGGTTTGCCGCGCTCATCGTGGTCGGCATGACCGTGATGGGGGTGACGGTTCTCTTTGCGCTTTATTCGTTCCTGTTCTCCGTCGGATCGCCGGGTGGGATGAGCGTGCACGAGATACCTCTCATGCTCGTTGGATACGGTTTCGGCGCCTCCTTCGTCGCCCTCTTTGCACAGTTGGGCGGAGGTATTTACACCAAGGCCGCAGATGTCGGGGCCGATTTGGTGGGTAAGGTTGAGCAAGGGATCCCGGAGGACGATCCAAGGAACCCGGCGACGATCGCGGATTTGGTCGGCGACAACGTCGGCGATTGCTCCGCGCGAGGCGCCGATCTCTTTGAATCCATCGCCGCTGAGGTCATCTCCGCCATGATTTTGGGCGCCACCATGTCCAAGAGCGCGGGTATTGACGATGCCACTGGATTTATCATGTTCCCGCTCGTCATCCATGCTATGGATTGCATTGTGAGCGCGTGCGGGATCATGTCCATCAGCGAGACGTCCACTCGTCGCGAGGATCCGTACAAGGTGCTCAAGGGCGGATATAACGTCTCCATCTCACTTGCGGTCGTCGGCTTCGGCCTCGCGTGTCGCATTATGCTTGCCTCGGCCAAGTATCCTGGGGCGTGGTTCTACTTTTACCTCTGCGGCTTGATTGGCATCGCGTGCGCGTACGCGTTTGTCTTCATTGCGCAGTATTACACCGATCATCAGTTCCCGCCGGTTCGCGTGATCGCGGAAGCCTCCACCACAGGGCACGGCACGAACATCATCGCCGGTGTCGGCGTCGGGATGGAGTCGACTGCAGCTCCCGTGATCGTGATCTCCATCGCGATCATCAGCGCTTTCTGGTGCGGGAACTCGAGTGGGATCGTCAACGCCCAGGGCACGCCAATCGGCGGTTTGTTCGGCACCGCCGTGGCGACGATGGGCATGTTGTCCACCGCGGCGTACGTGCTCACCATGGACGTGTTTGGCCCGATCGCGGACAACGCTGGAGGGATCGTTGAGATGTCGGAGCAACCGGAAAGCGTCCGAGAGATCTGCGACGAGCTCGATGCCGTTGGAAACACGACAAAGGCGACGACAAAGGGATACGCCATCGGATCAGCCGCCTTGGCGTCCTTCCTTCTCTTCTCCGCCTTCATGGACGAGGTGAGCGCATTCACGGGTAAGCCGTTCGATCAAGTCGACATCGCCATTCCGGAGGTCTTCGTCGCTGGTTTACTCGGAGCGGCGCTCGTGTACTTGTTCTCTGCCTGGTCCATCACCGCCGTCGGAAGATCCGCGCAAGAGGTGGTGAGAGAGGTCCGCCGACAGTTCTCAGAACGACCCGGGATCATGACTGGCGAGGAGAAGCCAGATTACGCGCGATGCGTCGCAATCGTCGCCGCGAGCGCCCTTCGTGAGATGGTGCGACCCGGGGCGCTCGCCGTGCTCAGCCCCGTGGCCGTGGGAGTGATTTTCAAAAATTTGGGCGTCGCGACGGGGCAAGAGTTACTCGGCGTGAAGTGCGTCGCCGCGTTCTTGATGTTTGCCACCGTGGCTGGTATTTTGATGGCGTTGTTCCTCAACACCGCCGGTGGGGCGTGGGATAACGCGAAGAAATATATCGAGACAGGGGCGCACGGTGGTAAGGGAAGCGAAGCGCACAAGGCCGCGGTGTCGGGCGACACCGTCGGCGATCCCTTCAAGGACACCGCTGGACCGTCGATTCATGTCCTCATCAAAATGCTCGCCACGATCACGCTTGTGATGGCACCGATGTTCATTGATTCCACCCGAGCATAGAATGCAAGTTTTAAAGAAAAAGGTCAGGTTTGAATTAAAATAAAACGTTTGACATTGCGAGAGCGACATATCTGTACAGAAATTTGTCCGTGATTAATGACGCATATTGTTGACCGCCGCTTGGCCCTGCATCAGACCCATGCGGATCGATTGCGAAGCCTCCGCGACGGCACCCGGACCGGACGGGACGAAAATGGTCGAGTTACCTTGCGTCGTACCGACTTCCTTCATCGTGTCGAAGTATTGCGTCATCATCATCATCTCCAACACGTCCTTGCTCGAGATGCCGTCAACGGACTCTTGGAAATCGACGACGGATTCGCGAAGACCGGCGATAATGGCCTGACGCTGACGCGCCATACCGGTACCCGCCAAGTACTTAGATTCGGCGTCGGCCTCAGCCGCCTTGACGACCATGATCTTGTCCGCCTCGGCGCGGTCCTGCGCCGCGACGCGCGCGCGCTGCGCCGCGTTGATCTCGTTCATCGCCTGCTTCACTCGCGCGTCCGGCGCGATATCCGTTACGAGGGTATTCAAAATCTGATAACCGAACTCATTCATCGATTTACTCAGCAACTCCTTGACGCTCATCGCGATCTCCTCCTTGGACTCGAAGACGTCGTCCAACTTGATCCTGGGCACCGTCGAGCGCACGACGTCGAACACGTACGATCGAATCTGCGCCCGAGAGTCCGTGAGTTTATAGAACGCGTCGTACAAGCGCTTCTCCTCCCCCGCGAGCACTTGATACTGCGTGCTCACGACGATCATCACGAACACGTTATCCTTGGTCTTCGTCTCCACGCTCACGTCGAGCGATTGCACGCGCGTCGACAGCGCGCCCGCCACCGCCTGTCCCGTGAACGGGTTCACGAAGTGGCATCCCTCGCGCGCGAAGAACGCAAACTTCCCACACTGTTGAATAACCTACGCGCGGCGACGGATTGCACGACGCGTCGTCAGTCTTCACGCGCCGTCCCGCGCAATCGAACGTCATCGCGCACGTCATCGCGCGTCCCACGTCCGTCCACGGCCGTCGTCGTCGCCATCACGCACCTGCACGGTCCCGGTGGGCACGCACGTGAAGCAGCAGCATCCGGTGGGCGCCATGGCGCGCGCGTCGACGTGTGCGCGCGGCGTCGCGGGGTCTCGCGCGTGTCGATATTTCTCGCCACGTGGCGACTGTCGACGCGCACCCGGTGTGTGCGCAAACAGTATACGACGACGTGTGTGTGCAAACAGTCTACGTCTCGCCACGTCGCGACGACCCCATCGCATTCGCGCGCGCCCCGCACTCATCATGCGCGCGTCGTCCCTCGCGCGATGCCCCGCGACGGCGCGGACGGGCGCGAGACGTGGACGTGGACCCGCGCTCCCGTCCCGTGCGCTGCGAGACGGTGACGCGCACGCGGCGTACGTGCGAGACGCGGCGAACGCGCGGGCGCCGCCCGAGCTCGCGAGCGTGCTTCGCGTGCTCGAGGCGCAGGGAATGACGCTGGTGGAGCCGCGCGCGCGACGCGGGATCCATCCGTTGGTCGTCCCGCTCGCCGTGGACCCGGTGGAGGGGGTGACGATTGGGTTGTACGTCAAGGGGGAGGAGGATTGCGCGAGCGTGGTGCGGGTCGCGGGCGAGGGACGACACTTGGAGTTGTTGGGGAGAAACGCGAGCGAGTACGTGCATCGAGCGATCGTGGAGGAGGAGTGGAGGAGCGATGAGACGGAAACGGTGGTGGCGGCCGCGGCGGGGGCGGTTGGGGTGAGTTTGCATAACCACGGCGCGTTTAAGACGAGCGGGAAGGAGTTCGACGTGTACGTGACGACGCAAATCGGAAAGTTTCCGTCGTCCATGGAGGGATTGGTTCGCAGACATTTGAAACGCGACGATGTGCAGTCGGCGCTCATCACGTGCGATCTGTACAAGTCGACGTTCGGGGAGTGGGGATCGTCGCACGCGTTCGTGGCTGATTTATACAACGATTTGGGACGCGGCGAGGAGGCGCGTGACGCGGCGAGGAACGCGCTCCAAACGCCGTGGGCGACGGTTGGAGGCGATAAAACGATCAAGCGCATGCTGGATCTCGCGGGTTGGTCCGGGAAGACGGTGACGGAGATTAAGGAGGTGCTCGAAACGAGACGCGGTCCGAACGCCGCCGCGTTCGACGGACCAAAGAGCGAAAAGCAGCTCGCCAGAGAAGAGGCAGAGCTCTTGCTCGACCAAGTCGCCGCGGGTGAGATCGAATCGGCCACGGTGAATCAACGTCTCGCCGAATGTTACATGAAGGCTGGAAACTCCACTCTGGCCAAGTTTGTCATGTGTGGCAGCGGCTCGCCCGCGTGATCGACGCGACCGTCTCACGTCGACGCGATCGCGCGCGCGGCATACGCTTTCACCAACGTATTCATTATTTAATCATCAATATTCCCAGTCGCCGCGCGTCCGCGACTCCAATCTCATCGCGACGACGTCTCGCGTTCGCGCGCGTCGCTTGAACCGTCTCCGAGCTGTCTCGCGCGACGAGAACACACGCCTCGTAGCACTTTTCTCCTCAGAACGAGGCATGCACGACTTTGACGACACCGTGCGAACGTCGCTAAATGAATCTGACTTCAATTTGACGACGCGCTGCCCACGAGTTAGCCCCGCATCGCGCGTTCGAGCCGTGAGTCCGACCGCGCGCTTTCCGGAGACGCGTTCCGCGGCGCAGCGCGCGCGACCGGACTCACGTCGTGTCGCACGCGAGCCATCCCGCGCGCTCGCTCGCGAGCTCCGCTTTGATGCCTCCGATGAGGCTTGTGTGTGGTCGAATGACGTGGATCGCTCGGCGTCGCGCGAGTCCACGCCCGCGCGCGTTGAGTACTCTCGTCGGCGCGCCGAGCGTTTCAGCGACGCGGCGCTCGATGGCTGGAGCGCACCCGAGCGGTATACCGCCACATCGGACGATGAGAACGCCAATCCAGAAAACGTGCAGCGTGAATTGATGCGCATGAAGCGTCGCGGGTGCGATCGTGCGGAGAAACTTTTGCACAGCGTCTCGCCCGTGAGAGAAAGTGAAACTCGGAAACGCCACAAGGTGTTTCGCGAGCTTCAATCCCTGCACGACTCGCAAAAACTCGATATTGTCATCCATGGGGACGTTATTAGAGAAGCTCGAGGCTCTCAAGCTGAAGGGTTGATCGATCGTAACGTTTCCATGAGTATCGTAAAGGAACAAAATTGTGTACGTCGATGTCGACCCATATTGTAATCAAAGCCGTGTATCGAATCCTGTCCAGTGTGATCATCGTTGAGATCGTCACGCGCGTCGGAACGTGCGGGACCGTGATAGACGTTTGACACATCGGGAGCGCATGCGGGGCATGGGGCACGTCGAGGAGTGAGGCGTTTGGTTTCGGCGATATCGTATCGTCAAATGCTACTCGTGAGCCACTCAGCTTCTCAAAATCCATCGTCGACGTCCTCCTCCGCCATCATGTCCGCCATGGAATCCGTACCCATGAAGTCTTCCTCCGCCATGATGTCGTCATCCTCACGCGTCGCGAACACTTCGTCCTCGGGTTCTTCCTTGAGCGTCTTCGCGGGCGCCGTCGATAGCTTTGACGCCGAAGGCTTTCCTTTTCGCTTCTTCGCCTCCGCAGTCTTCGCCGGTTTCATCCCCGGTACCGCGAACGCGTCTGTTGGCTCCTCGAACACCACCGTCGGTTTCTCCTCCACCTCAATCGGCTCTGGCTCGATCGGCGCCAGTTTCACCTTTGGCGGAAGCGGCGGATACTTTGCTCGAACCTTCTTAAACGCATCCAACGTAGCGTACGGCATCCCGGTCACCGGATCCTTATACTTCGCCGGTAACCCCGTGATGACGCACACGCTCGGTTTCACAGGCACCGGCTTGGCTTCGTCTCGTCGCAGCGGCGCCGGCGGCTCGGCGCCGCGCGCGAGCTCGATCGTCGACGCGCCTCCGTCAACCTTCGAAGAGCTCCGATAAATCAGCGACGGACCCTCGTATTTCTTGCCCGTCGTCGGTGCCTTCTTCTTCATCTCCGCCTCCAGCGTGAGCAACCGCTCGAGATCGAGCAAGTTGTAGTACTCGGTGACCTTTGTCTCCTCCATGAGCTGCTCCTGCGACGGCATCACGTACACAATTCGCTCTCTCTCCGTCGTCGGTTTCGCCTCTCGCTCCTTTCGCATCTTCTCACTCCGCTCCAATATCGCTTGCGCCGTCGACCGCTTCGACTTTCTGATTTCCACATCCGCCGCCGCGACCGCCGCGCGCGCGCGCTCCGCCGTCGCGTCCCGACGCGACCCCCCCACCTCGTTCACCTCGCGCACCGCCCCCACGCGCGCCCCACCCCCCGCGCGTCCACCATCCCTCCGTTCCGGCGCCTTGAGCGTCTTCGCCCGTCGCTCGCGCTCGACGCGCACCTCGCCCTCGCTCTCCGAGCTCTCGTCGTCGTGAAAATCCGCATCCACGACATCCTCCTCCTCGCTCTCGCTCGCGTACGCCTCGTCCCCGCTCTCGTCCGCGAACGCGTCTTGCGACCAGAACGCTTCGTCCGCGTCGTCTTCGTCCTCGAGGAGCGCGCGCATGCGCGTCCCGCGCGTCGAGCGATTCGGGAGCGCGGAGACGTACTCGGCGTCGGCGTCGGCGCGCATGACGCGACGCGCGCGCGACGACGCGCGTTCGATCGCTCGCGCGGGTTCCACGCCTCGCGCGCGCGC